ACCTGTCTATTACCCACTACATCGTTCATACTGGCTCCAGGAGACCGTTGGTCGTTGCTGGAGGGGACGGGGTGCACGGTTCTTGTGGCCGTGCTAGGCTCAAAGAGCGGTTCCATGCACTCAGTGTGGAGCGGACTACGGTCCAGCCACCGCCTTGTGTGCGGTTGATTCCCCAACTACAGCGTGCTTGTGTTTGCCTGTGAAGGAGTGTGGGCCGGCTCCGTTGATGAAACGTGGTTCCCATCCGCATGCCTCCCGGTCTTATTCCTTCGGGTTTACACTGGATATGGGGTATGTGGTTGGAGCTGTAGGTGGTGCAGCGCAAGCCATCCATGGTCCCTCTGTAGGCGCAGGCGTCCTGTGGCTTGCCACAGTGACAGGCAAATCCGAAACCGGATGCCGCCAACCATATATATAATACACTGAAGAGCTGCGTATCTCAAACCGAATCGAGGACGAAGGTAACCGCGCCGACCGAATTGCGTGATACTTTAAGAAAATAATATCGTATCGCAACTGTTAGCAGTGACAAACACGCTTCGACCCAGTCGAGCAATAGTGACCGGACGAGCGTTGAGATGTGCGGTGGATCCAAATGCCTTCACTCTGTTTAAAGAGGATGACAATTAGGAACGAGGGATATGATAGACGAGACACAAACTTAAAGCGAGAAAACATAGGCGTCGGGTTTGGAGTCAAAGGGTAGAAACAGAAGACCGCCATCACTGATTCCTCTCTTAAGGTCTCGATGGAAACTGGCCTAACAGATCCCTGTGCGTCTCAACCATTCGGTCAGTTTCCTCACGCCCATGCGCTGCGCCGTCGATTGGCCACTAGATGGCGTCATGCGACGTCAGCATATCGTTAACAAACCGCAGCGAAGAACTTAATCTAGCCAGAATAGGTAGGACACGTTCAATAGAGGACGGATTGGAGTCTTAGAAAAGGTTATATGAGTTTTAACGGTCCGGCCTGGAGCGCCTGCAATCATTCGGTGGCCGTAAATGACAGCTACATAGATAGGTGAACAGAAAGAATTCTTATGAGGTATTCCGGCAACAAACGGAACGCCTGATATCGGTCCAGTTGTGCAGTAGCGTCTGGGTTTTAAGATGTGAATCGAATGTCTGGCCATGCAGCGCATCTAGTCAGTCCATTTGGCAGCTCGCATAGCCACTAGACCCAACCGCGACGGCCACATCGTTAGCACAAACTACATTCACTAACCAGTTACACTGTCGGAACTATCTTGTTGGAGAAGCAGATAAGCTTAACCACTACCAACCATAAATTCAAAAAGAAAGGAAGGCGAGACGAGTCGGACAGAATGCGATGGTAGCTATCGGCTCGGCCATAATGGTGGCGAAACAATTCATCTCACCATCAGCACAGGGGCGCCGTGAGAGCCTGTGTCTAAAACGTACGGAAATCAATCGGTACTAACTTACGCCACATGGGTCACTTGAGGGTAGACGACGCGGAGGGAGTTACGTAAGTGGAACCATTGAGGGGCACACACATCCAGACGTGTGCGGAAAGAAAGCACTCGCCCGTCCATACGCGATACCTGGTGCTCACGAAGACCGACAACCTCACTCGTGCGTAGGCATACCATGTGGTCACCTATCAGTCGCTCCAAAACAGGCCAAGCAGCACTGGACCGATTAGCACTGGCTGTCAATCGTTTTGGGCTATCGAAATGCAAAGTACTTCTCCAAGATTGACAGGGACCCAACCCTGCGCTAACGCTTGGTGGTGATCTGCTAAAAGTCGTTCAGGAATTCAAGTACCTGGGCAGCTATATCAGCACCCGTGGGATTGAAGATGAGGCTAGGAACCGTATAGCAAAAGCTCGAGGTGCTTTTGCCAATCTCCGCCACCTGTGGCGCAGACGCGACATTACTCTCGCCCAGAAAGGCAGAGTTTATAACGCAGCCGTCCGTTCAACTCTCCTGTATGATTGTGAAACCTAGCCCATCAGGTCGAAGACATAAAGACGCTCGTCACATTCGATCATCGCTGCCTTCGCAGCTCAGCTCTTGTGTGGTGGGAGCACCGTGTGAGCAATGAGCAGGTTCGGCGTCGTGTATTTGGTGCAGGAAGAGCGAGTGAACCGCTCAGCACCATTATACCACGCACCAGGCTCCGATAGATGGGCCACGTGTTGCGAATGCCAGCACACCGAGTTCCGCGACGTGCATTGTTTGCGCGTTGTGGGTGCGGTTGGAAGAGGAGGAGGGGTGGCCAAGCGGTGACTTGGTCGAGAGAGATGAAAACCCTCACTTCGAAGTTGGCGTTGGTTGGTGCATCCCGACTGCCTGACTTGGGTCCTAAGGACGGTGAACACGTTTGGTTTGTCACACTTGCTCATATAGCTTGGAGCCGGCACCAATGGCGTTTGTGCTGTGAGTTCCTTTGTCCATCTCCCACCACCAATCACGATCTCACTCGCTAGGCATAATATGACTCTCATTTTACGGCACGATAGCCACCTGTTAGCTCTCCGGAACGATGTCGATCGGTTACTGGGGGCTCAGCCGGCATGCCACTGATTGTTTTCCTTTTCTTGTTTTTTTTTTGTATTGCGGCACAATAGCTGAGGTGTTTTCCACCTGTAGCTAACGTGTATAATGGATGATAATGACGATCAGTTGCCTAATGCTATAACTCAGCATTGGAAATAGTGCAGGGATTTTGTAACACACAATTCCCTTAATCTGTCGAGGTTGTTGTAAGCAAACCGACCAAAGTCGCTTGGCAGCATAAACACAGTGTCTTGGAACAGTTTTGAGACGCCGATCGTTTCGTTGTTACAGTTTCCATCGAAAGTATCCACTGCAACTCTTCCAGCATTGTATCCAACGCGCACCAGTAAGAAAAATCTTGGTTGCTCCAATGGTGTGCGATCTCGAGTGGCTGTGTTGGTTCAGTTCATGCGACTGTTGGGTTTTTAATTGAGAACACAGCCCCAGAATAACCTGATGATCCCGGAGATCTGAAATTGTTAGACCCGCTCCTACTCTACTCCTGATCAATTCGATTAGATGAGCTCTCATCCCGTCTCGATGTATCATCGCTTTCGTTTGAAACACTGCCTCCATCGTGTTCACGTTCGGCCAATGCGGACCTCATAACCTGGCACAATACCAACGTGACAGCAGAGTACACTGGATTGTGCGGTCACCTCCGACTGCATCAGTGGGTGCAGCGCCGGGGAATGTAGAATTCACAACCGCAATGCTCTTGGTACCGAGCAAAAAGCAGGTACTACGGCATCAGTAGTCAGTAGCGTAGCAGTGCCAGAAAAGCCGGCCAGTAAAGGGCCAAGAGCGAAACTCCTATAACTCGATTGGACAGGTTGTGTTGTGTGCGCCTTCGGATCTGGTGACGGTCAGCTGCGCGGTAGCAGCAGATTATTCGTACATTCAGCGGAAACCACAACAGATTTCTGGCGATGGTGGTAAGCTTAATCAAGATGACTAGCTCAGCAGAAGGTATGAAAACTATTTTGCGGCAACAACAGCAGCAGTTCGAGGCCTCACAGCTGCGGACGATCGAGACCCTCACAAGGACACTTGCTCCAGTTTACAGCCATCTCTTCCGAGTGAGTGCAGATAGTTCTCCAAATCCAGCAAGCAGTGCTTGTGGAACCATGGAGGTAATTGACGGAGTTTTTGGCATGGAAGTTGAACATTTAAGAAGAATGTGAACTAGAATCAGAGCTAACATCAGAAGACATTGCAGGTGATTGTTACAAGCTGCTCAACTTGAGTTCAGACACCAAAGAAGGTGAAAATTCGAATACCAGAAGTGAACTCCAGATGCGCTACGAAGCTAATGGAGACCAGAATGTGAATTAGAAATTCCCCACTACGATTCGTGCGCATTCTGTAAGGGTCAAAGTGAATCAAGAGGCCCCATGTCGCTAGACGGAGAAATGGTTTGCGAACCGAAATGCAAAGATCTGCAATTTTGTGCAGCGACCTACACCGTCAGTTGTACAGACAATCTGCCCAGAATGGAGTGCAAGACGAAGGTAGAGCTTCACTGTCCCTTAAGCCCGATGCCGTTCCAGTGTTTCGCACGAGACACGATGTGCCTTACGCAGCAACACCAATAGTTGAGCAGGACCTTGATCGCTTGGAGAAAACAGGAGTTCCGTAATCGGTGAACCACTCGCTCCGGGACCCAGGATAGATTTAATAAGCTTTTACCGGTGGCCACAAAAAGGAACGAACTTGCAGCTACGGTGATGGACTAATCGGGTGCGAAGACCGGTCATCAAAATGCAGCTGGATCCAAAACGGAAGTCGTACGTCAATTTGCGCGAGGGATGTGTTAGGGGGAGCCAACTTACAGTCAGCGTTCAAGCCGAAAGCCTTGGCGTAAAAGTGGATCGATCTAGATTTGGAGATCGAACTTATCTAGCGCTGGCTCTCCGTAACACGCCGAAACTGACAGGTGGCCTAGACGGCCACTAGTCGCGGAGTCAGGTAAAACGAGGTTTTCTCAATCTTCCCAGCCACATGCGACCGTGTGCCGAACAGCAATGTTTTCAGACGTCAGACACATCATGGGGTCAACTCCATTTTGGAAAACGCCACAGTTCTCATTCAGGTAAGCACCGCGGAGGAAATGTCTGCGAGTGAGTTAACACGGCACAGATAGGACAACTCTTGCCTTCAGGAATCGCGAGCAACGGGTGCCGTCATCTTGGGAAAAACGGACTCTAGCGGATAGATGAGTGTTAGATGAACCGAAGACCTGTCCCAGATTAATTTCGCCGATGGCTAATCAACACGACTCTGAATCGCAAACAAGGTGACAAGAGATTTCAAATACGTTTGAGAGATACAGTTGTCTCGTACCTATTCGCTTTGTCCTTTCGTAGCTAACAAACAAGTGGGCGAACTGGGTCGCTAGTGTGGATTGAGAACATCCACAACGATGTGTGAAGACGATTCTCACTTAGAGGACGATTCCCGAAAAAATAACTGACACGTCATAGCAAAAGTGTACTTAAACAAGGATTGCAAACGAACTGTACACGGCTCACAATGGTGGGGGATGAGTGCGGAGTGGAGGCAAGAGGGGGGAGGATGCTTGAAATTTATCCGTCCGACGTATGCTCTGACGCTGAAGTGGGTTCACAGAAAGTATCGGACTGTGAGACGCTACTGCGTTGCTTACGTTCGGAGCGGAGTTTCTTGAATTTCAATGCTTCTTCCTCCAAGCGCTTCTGAATATGGGGGGGGGGGCGAAGAAAGCAAAAAGAGGCGGGCCGATAGCAGCATCGCGTGGGATCATCAAAGCAGAAATTCGAAAACAATACTCCCTGGCACACAAATGGAAAAAGAAGAAACGATTCGTCAGGCTGTTCAAAAGTGCAATTCAAGAGTACTGAGGTGTAGGGAATGCGACCCCAGCTTCGGATAAGTGCGTAGAGAGTGCCGTGGGGATTTGTTGAATTAAGAATAAGCAGATTATCAGCGGCAATCTAGAGCAAGACGAATAAGAGCGGAAATTCTCCAAATATGGGTACGAAGTGTAGAACAGTGATACAGAAAGACAAGTAACTCCTTATGAACACGCGCAGTTCCTCCTACGTTCATCGAACATATCCCGCTATTGCTGATGGGCACCGGTGACTTGCTTATGATTGGTCGGGCCGCGCAAACTGAACCGATACACTACACCAAAGGGTCTTCAGAATGTAGCTTGTCAATTGGAGCCACGTCCATAGAAAGTTAGAGTGTTTTGCGAAGTTGATGGAGGCAATGGCGTTATCACCGCCACCTCCAAACTGCTCATTTGCGCGGTACAGTTCAGTGAGTTACTTACCATGTTTTTACTTCCCGCCAAGATATGAAACAATGAGATGAATGTTTTGGAAGTTGATTTCGATTCCGCTGGTTGGGGAAATTATGGAAATGTCTTCAGTATTTCCCAAGTGAATTTTGAGATCGAAAACTTTATGAATAAATGCACTCTGTCAATTATCCGCATAGGGGTGGGCGTCCTCGCGGTATACTCAGTCCGCGCGCGACCGGTGGTGGTCGTGTGGCAGCGAAGCGCCATTACGGTGTAAAGCTGGCACGTTATTATTATTACTCTGTCAATCTTAGGCAGGGCTTTGAATTTGCCGTTGCCGCTCTCTCCAAAACATCGTATTTTTTGTGCTATCTACTACAAAGATATCAATTTTGTATGAAGATGTTGGCGAATGCTTTGGCTAAACAATGCAAGGTCACTGAGGCCACTCAACCCTACTGATTCTTTGAAAAACTAGCCGAAACACAGCGCATAATTCGCAGTTTACCGCTTTAATCCAAATGAAACGAGCTATAAATAAACCTTCCAACAAAAGTTGGCCTCGCCAGCTGGATGAAGCCTCTTATACTTCGTTCTATCAACATGCGGAGGTGATTACTTAAGTGACACCTGTGCAATCCTTACCCATACTGTTTCTAAAATTGTAAAAATCCCATATATACTGATGCTGTTTTAGCACATTCGTAGTAGACAGTGTAAAATGCTGAAAATGTATCCATTTGGATGCATAAAACTAATTTTGCTTCGACTTGAATCACACATGGAGTAGAAGCCTTGGGGGGGGGGGAGGGAGGAGGGTGATCGACTGGTGGAATCAAGATTTGCAGACAGTAGGGGACTCAGGGTTGAATGCAGCCCACATGCCAGCTCCGCTGAATAGGTTGGTATGGTGTCGTATACTTGGCATCGTCTGCACCATTTCCCGATTGACTGCATCCATAGTGCAATTGAATTGCTCCCTAACGCTCTGATTTGCATCCGTAAGCTAATTGAATATCGTGGTTAACGCATTCGAATTGTATCCAGTATGATTTCGACGCACCAAGCGCGCGCAGTGACCTTGGCATTGAGCTAGCCCGAAGCAGTCAATGGCGGTAGACGTAATAACCTCTGCATGTATGTATGAGTTGGTGGTGTGTGATGGGGATGAGTAAGCGTTCTAGCCTCCATCCAGCAACGGTGCCTAATCTGAAGCTAATTCCACGTAGCTTAGGGACACAAGGTTGTCCAAACACGTGGTGCGACTGGGTGGAGGGTTCAGTGTGCGTAAGTGGACTACCATTTAAAGTTATGCCCCATGCCGAGGCTGACGTAGCATTCATGATGTTTCCTAACCGCAATTGGGCTAAACTAACTTACACTTAAACGAGGTCATTTTAAGCTGGATAAGTTTCAGTACACTTTAATTGGTTTGTTCTGCCTACCTGAATAATCTATTAACTTGCATACGTTGCTTATGCTAATTGCGCTTATCTTTGTTAACTTCGTTGCGTTTGCAGCATTTTTAGGTAACTGCGGGATATCTTGTACTTATCGCGAATTCATTGCTAACCAAATTTATTCATATGCTAATTTAGTGATTAAGTCTGCACAGCCGTAAGCTTTAACAGATATATTCTATTTGATAATGTTATTTTAAGTGATTGGCCGTTGCTTGATATCCCCGGTGTGGTTGCGCTTGATGTGCATGTTGACAAGGTGCCTACCTATCTATCAACCACTACCTCATCCATACTGCCTCCAGGAGACAGTTGGTCGTTGCTGGAGGGGACGGGGGTGCAAGATCCTTGCGGCTTTGCTAGGCTCGAAGAGTGGTTCCATGCACTCAGTGTGGAGCGGACTACGGTCCAGTCACCGTCTTGTGTGTGCTTGATTCCCCAAATACAGCGTGCTTGTGTTTGCCTGTGAAGGAGTGTGGGCCGGCTCTGTTGATGAAACGTTGTTCCCATCCATATGCTTCGCTTTCCAAGCATTGTACATCTCAATCCTTTTCTTCGATTCTTCATTAGTTTTGAATCGTTCAATGCACAATTCTATAGATGGATATATATATATATATATATATATATATATATATATTACACAGACTGACACAGATTAGATCTTCCTAACCTGGATAAAGAGTTGCACTTTAGATGATTCGCTCAATGCTGTTATTCTGACGCATATTCCGCGTCAGTGTTGTGTGTTTACTTTCCTTCAAATGCTGTGTTGGTTGTTTGAGATCTCCAGTGTGGCAGCGCCTGCTGTGAATATTGACAAAGTGCCTATGTCTCTATTACCCAGCACTTCGATTAGCGGCTCTAAGAGACTGCTAATCTTTGCTGGGGGGTGAGGTGCACCGTCCTTGTGACTATGCTAGACACAAAGAGCGGTTTTATCCAGTGTGAAGTAGGCTACGACTTAATCACCGCCTTTTGTATATCTGGCACTCATAATTCCCAAATTAGATGGACAAGGATGCTGATGCTGCATTGCATGTTGAAAAAATGTGGGACGGCTCTGTAGAGGAAACGTGGCTCCCATCCACATGTTTTCCGGTCTTATACATTCACGTTTACACCGGATATGGGGTGTGGATGTAGCTGTGGGTAGTGCAGCACAAGCCATTCACAGTCCTTCTGTAGGCGCCAGCGCCCACTGGCTGTCCTATGGAGGTCGCAGTGACGGACAAATCTGGAAACGGATAGATATGATTGGCGGCATCCGATTCCAGATGTGCCTGCCACTGTGAACTCCATGGGGACAGCCACAAGATGCCTGAGCCTACAGAGGGCGCCTTAGTTCTGAATGTCTGTCTAGAACATTTGGGCCCACTTCTCTTCCTTTTCCTGCTCATCAATCATCGGGTAAGTATAGTCGTATAGTAGTGAAGGATCAATACAAATTACTGAAGCACTACAGTTTCCATGTACAGCTCTACACTCACTCTATCAGCTTCCAGCTTCTGCATATCGACTACACGCTTCGGACGTGCAGATTCCTCTGATCGGATAGAACATGTGTCGTGGGACGAGGTGAGTTCTGAGTCTTCGATCGACCAGTCCAACGGAGACTGATCCACGGATGCAAGCATTTGGGCGGTGTCATCCAGTTCTACACGTGGACGCTCTGACACACGCAGCACCGTGGAGGTCACAGGTGTTATTTTTGTCGGCGGCAGGATTGGTGGTTCCATATCATCGTCATTCATCGCTGATTGTGCTGAGTTGTGCGAATCAAGAAGCGAAGTGAAATCTCCGTGGGATGCGCCTGTGCCGTAAAACGGAAATGTGACCAGATGTAAATTATTTCGAAAGCATGTCTATTGCATTCTCGAATGCAGAATGAAAGAGAGAAAAATCAGATAAATGGACGGACGGAAAGCGTGGCGTCGCTCAAGGAGCTGTAGGAACACCAAAACGAGAGCGGACGGAAAAGCCGGAGAAAACACGTACGAGATTCGTCGGCTGCTGAGCGCCCAGTTGAAGCGCCGTGATCTCGACGAAGTGCGGGTGAAGATTCCAATTCATCGGAGAAGGGCGATCGGGCCCGTTCTCGACCGCGGGAAATTGGCGACTGCGTGGTACCAAGAAGCGACTTTGCCCTATCAGCCAGAAACGGTCTAGGTGAGCGCGGTGGATTGACAACGCGACCACCTACGACAACACCAAGCGAATGACCGCGTTGAACGGGTGATGGTTCCGCGACTGGGATGGGGACAGTAACCTCTGGAGCGATTAGTGCTGGTCCACCAGCAAGCATAGCGGTAGCCGCAACCAGAGAGACAGACACGTCGTGCTGGGGCAGTTCATCTCTGGTCGGTGTCCCAGGGCCAGAGGAGCTTGGACTAGGCGGCTGGGAAGCCTGTCCACCAGCGCCTTGCTCTTTAGACGTTGCGATAACGGGACTGGCGCGTTTAGGAGTAGGTGGGGGAGTTGGTATCCGTTCTAGGACGTCAATAATTGACTTGGAGATGTGTGTACGCTGGAACAAATAGAAGAAGTAGATGTGTAACACGGTGACGGATAAGATGAGCAGTCAAGAGGGTCGATCACCAAACCGATTGCGGAAGTGTTTACGACAAGAGGAGTTCTCAAGACGAGCAAAAAAGGGCGCTTAGTAAGGGGATGATTTAGACCGCTGACGAAAAAATGGCAAGACTGGAAGGTGTTAGCACGAGTGCTCTCGTAACATTGCGACCTAATAGCCGAAAGGATATGGATGACAGTAACACCTAAGTTTCACTCGATTGATCTCAGGAGGGTCACACGGACCACTCGTTGCTAACTCGCAACTTCGAGAAGACAAGGATAGACGTGAGGCAACCGGATATTGGGCGCGTGAAGACCACCCGGGCAGTGTAACTGGTTAGAGTTCAACGATGGTCTGGTGCAATGCAGTAGGGTTTGCTGTCAAACGCCGGATGGTGGAGGTCAAGATTACGACGTACTCGGTGCCATCGCCAGATACGAGTAGTACTTATGGGAACAATGAGCCTCTCAATACTCGCAACTAAACACTGTATTGTGGGAGCAAGTAGAAATGTAAATCTGTACAACCCCATCGGAATATGGTCAAAAATGCTCTATGAAGGATCTGTCACCTGTGGGTAACTTTAATGGTTCTTTAAGTTCTTATGTGGCACTTGAAAAATGTCTGACTCACAGTATCACTGGGTCCACAAATGTGAGATCTCATTGCGAGTCGAATGCTGAAATCTAAATGCAACGATGTTTTCAACTGCTGCACAGATTTGGCATACAAGACTTGTTCTGGTAGACTGTACCAAAGATTTATTACTCTTCGATTGGAACGCAGAGGAGGTGGGGAACTCGCTTCATACCAGGCTCCACAAGCTTGTACCGGTGTCCGCGTGTGCTGCTTGGGGTTCGCAAGTGAAGCAGAGGCAACAACGGGAAGGTCGTAGAGCTGCAAGCTGCGGTAGGTCACGATGAGTTCGACTGGCTACCGAGCATAGGTGTGAAGTCCTAGTTTCTCGCGCCGGTTTTCGTACGATATGTTCACGTGGTAGTACCAATGACAAGAGTGCGGTGGGCACTGTTGTAGATTTGAGCAGACCTGGTCGCATCAAGTTAGCAGAAAGTTACACATGACCTGAGCGCAGACCCCAGTAACGCACATATTCGGATACTGCACAGAGTCATCGAAACCAGACAACGAGGCGCACGCAACCGAGGGACTAAACGCGCACGCAGCACATGGCTAGAACAATGCACACGGTCACGTGACCACGCGAGACCCAACCATCGCACGAAAGGAGACAAGACGAAGTGGACCTCCGAGAGCTCTTTTACAACTCACAAAGGCCGAATCACAGTTGGCACAATGGTTCATTTTGTGGGTACAATGAATCACCACGTAGGGCGAGTGGTTTAAGAACATTGTTTACTTTAGCCCACTTGTGCCCCGACTCGGACTAGCTGGATACTGCTGCGCTGTGGGCAGAAATTTAACTCTGCGTGGTACAGGCCACGTATATTGGAGTTTGTAGCGCATTTTGACAAAGTGACAGACGATTGAGGCCATGAAGGATTGACCAAGCGTTACCGATGCGCCTAGTAATCCATTTGGAGATCTGCCCATACTACTACTAAAATACGTGAACAGAAGTGGCACATCAACAGCGGTGAGAATGGGTGGTACATCGGTCTAGTGTCATGGAGTGGTGCGTTGCCCTTTGATGTAAGGCACGCCGAAACACGCAACTCTCTTAATCAGCACGTTCAGATGCGCCCACACAAAGTCTGAGTCTAACTCCAAGAACTTCATGTCGATCAAATTTTCGGTCTGGGACCTAACAAAACGGCAACTCTAAAAGAGCCGGAGATGGTCATGTCGAGCAAAAAGATAAGGAAACAGAGAGACAGGATGACCACGATGCACACTACTTGTCATGGTGAATCTGTAAATTGCCCCAAGAGTGCGGTAGGAGGAGATTTCAAAAAAGGAAAGGACTGCGCAGACATGCTTTGCAAAACTGGACAACGTCAGGAGTAAATGGGATCAAATGGGGATCAAGGGTAATGGGTCTTAGAGTAAAGAAAACCTTCACAGTAGGTGGTCTGCCTGCATGGCGGTCTTCAGAACCAGTGAACTGAACACCGACAGGCGAATTAACGCTGATGGAGTGAATACTACACAATGGGTGAGCCAAATAGGCGAAAAACGGATGGACACGTTGTGCTATGTGGGTATTGGCTTTGTCTTTTCGTGGACAGAAGGTTGCAAGTACCGACGCGATGAAATGAGGGGAATCCCGCAATTAGCAAGCAATCAGGAGCTATTGGGGTGCAATGCAGCTGGCGAGGTGATCCAGCTGTCGCTCCTTTGTGCATAGCAGTGTGTCACGAGGTTCAGCCGCGAACCGGATTGCATGTTAAAATCGCGAGTGCAGGAGAAGAGTAAAGGGTGAGTGGAGAACCGATATCATCTTGTGGCGTTGCTCTGGGAGAGTTGAGCAGGCTGTTGGTGGTGAGTAGTTCCCCAGTTTTTACGTTAGGCTAAAATGCTCTCACAAAATCCAGATCGTGATTTATAACAAACAACACGCAGATGCCCGCGTGGCCTGAAGCAAACACAGAACTACGACGTTGCTTGTCAAAGTAAGACAGAGTTCCTAACGAAACATGTCACTATCCGGCACTGGTAAATAGAGGATCGAATGAACAGGGAATATGATGACGCAGGAGACACTTGAAAGCGGAGACTACCTAGTTTAGGCTCATTTTAATGCTGCAGTTTCGACCTGCTGGATAAAGTCAATAGTGCGCATCCATCGGAGCAGTCAGGATTCGAATCGATGACCACCAGCGGCTTGCATCGCCAGCCAACAGTATAGGAGACCCCCTTACAACACGCGAGCACCGAGACTCCCAAATATGCACCCCGTCTACATCATATGACTGCTCTTCATAGCCTATTCTCACGACATCGGTCAGTGATGACCACCTTGAGGGTCAGCCAAGGCTGTGTGGTGATCAAGTGCGGTTATGACATGACAGAGCCCGGGTCAAAGGTGAACCAATGAGCATCCGGGTCCGCTCTCCTTAAGCCGCTCTACTTCATAAACAAGTATTGTAGAGTGACTTCGGTGTGCATAGATTGCGACACACACAAAAGAATGTTGACCTTGTATGAGATAAGCACTTCTCTTCCTAAGCACCGTAGACAAGTGCTGTTGACGAAAGTTGGAGATGAAGCAGTGGGCACTTAAGTTGATAGGCATAATCTCGCCCCCCCCCCGGACGGGTACCTCAGCTTGTACTGCCTGTATATAAAGGGTTTGAGGAAGTACAAAACCGATCGCGAAAGGAAGAACACCTAGTGTATGTAAAATTCTTTTACGATACTTTAATGCGTACTATCTGGAGAGGCTTCATGGGGATCTCAAATGGCAGGAAAGCATGGTTAAAACGTGGCAGGATTATGCACTGCAATGGACCATGGAAACGAATAAAGTAGAAGATGAAAAAACGCAACGGTGATACCATCCGGATTCAAAAGCGGTCGAATCAATGACACCCAACACACATGATAAAGTTAGTGTCTTTTAGAGACTCCAACTGCAGAGTAATTTCGAAACTACGGGCGAAATAGAATGACAAACTGTAGTACCTGAGCAGAAGAGAAGTTTTCCACATAGCGGCGCACTTGCGCTCGCATCGTTGGCTCGCGTTGAAACACAGATTCCAGCCGATCGGGCGGTAGTTGAAGTAAGACCTGATAGCTTTGCGGTCGAGTTTTGATGCAACAACGAATGAAACCGTCCCATAGCTTCTCGCTCTTCCATACCTGAAGAGGGGAACACAGAGCGGGTAGACGGAGTGCAGAGAGCTAGGTGATGGTGCTCAAGACGGTGAAAAAGTGTGCATAATGACAGAAGTTTAGAAACACTGAGCGTATGGAGTGACTCTAAACCTCGACATGCGCTTCGCATTTTCAAGATAAAAGTTCTGTTGGTGGGGCAACCAGCCACATTTTATTGATCTGAGTATCGATGAAGACGGACTGGGGAGAGCTGAATAAGCAGCAGTGGGCATGCTAATGCTGAACTAAGCTCCCTTAGTGAGAAGCGAGAACTGCTCACACAAATTTGTACAATTTATGGCGTCCAAAGAGGATTCATCTCGGTCCCAAAGGCTGCGCAAGCAGGACCACGGTGAGGTCTGCTATCCTCTACTCGATCCGATGAAGGCAAAGTCCCCGGGTTTTGGTCAACATTGACTGCGGAGCAGTACTCGGTTGGCACCAACACGTCCGTAGCGGTGAAATGTGCAGATGAACGCCAAATATGAACACTGCACTACGTGACATGGATCGCAATTGACACGAGCGGTGCGTTTACCGTCGGATCCAGTCAACAATCTCACGGAAATGGAGGAGCTGGCAGAAACGAATACTTGATACTGGCAAATCATACCAATGCTATCTTGTATAGGGAATGCAAAACAGCCCTCATGGGTTAAATCGAAAGCACAGCCAATCAGAGTGGATCTTGAAAATAAGACACTTTACTGCAGTGATCGCTATTCTGAGTCGGTAACGCTTATCGAAACGCACGGGCTGAGCTGTGAGAACCAGGGAAATGAGCAGAACAAGTTGTACTGAAGTAACCGTTGTTCTGCGCTAGTGATGGTAAAACGAAATGAAAACATAGAACTTACGAACAGGTGAAGAAACTCGCAAATAGCTACAGAAGTAGACGAATATTACACGTCGCTTGATACCACTACCTGATGAGATCAAGTGAGATCGAAACGCGTTGTTGTTGCACAGATTTTTGGCCGGGCATCAACAAATATTCATCCGCTACATCAGTTACCGCCCTGGTGGTTGTATTGCCGAAGGTTTGCTTCAATGTGAACCGAGGTCCGCATTGAGGTTAAGCGTCTCAATCCACTCACACAACGCGTGCTTCAAAATGACTCTCCATTCAGACACATAAACAGTATAAAAATGTGAGCCCATTCAATTATGTACTGTGTGGCGCATTAAGACAAAATGTTTGGGTACTTGTGTTAAAGGAATCAATGCCCATAAGTAAAGACTAAGAGGAAAGTGGAGAGTAGGCAGAGTTCGACGGTTAATTCACTGCTTCTAAATGTGGTCAATTGTGGCAAGTTATCTGACCATCGTGCAAATATAATACTCATAAAAAGATAGTAGTCAAGTTACATAGGTGAATTAGGAATTCACAGTGGGTGTACCTCACTTTTGTGAAGGTAAATGGTTCGCAGGATGATGCGAATAACTAAGGTGCGTTAACGTAGACGTAGGCATCAAGTACAAAGTACACCAAGGTTGCGCAGATGTGCGCTAGCTTCGTGACCGGAGCTATGAAAGCGATCAAGGTGGTGCTCTGAAACTCGGTCTGATATAGCACATTTGACTGCCAATACCGACGATTGAAGCGCTTTTCGAATATGCTTCCGATGCGTTCCTGTTGCCTCGTGTTGAATATAGGTGCGGAGACATGAGTCTGGGAGATTGATTCAGCGCAGCAAGACAACGGGATCGCAGTTGATTACAGTGGTTTTGCTGAACTGCGGATGCGAGCAATGCCAACCACGTGAGTAGCGCTTAAAATGACATTAGTATGTTCAAAATGACTGGACAAATTAAGCGGATTACTTTCTTTAGCGGGATAATCAAGTGAGCCGAACAGAAAGATCCCGCAATCCCATTTATATAATACGTTTCCAGTGCCAGTGGATCAATTTGACCTCTAGGAAGACGAACTTAATTGAGAAATGGTGTACACTATTGCATATCCCAGCAGTGACAGAACTCTAGAATGCAAATGCAAACGCTCGATGGAAGGCAGTTTAGCGTGAAAGAAAACTCACTTGCTTCCGAATCAAGCGGACCAGTACATTGATCACGTAGCCAGCCAGGCGAGGATGCAAGGCCAGAGCCTGCATCACGGTTCGCATGAATAGAGTGGGTAGCACAGGTTGCTCCAGCAGCTGTCCGATCGCCACAGACAAGCGTTCCTGTGTGAACAAACGTCGCTCAGCAAAGCACACGCGACAAGCGTGAAGGATAGCTTGTAGCGATACAAATGGCTTGGTCGGTTTGCCTGAGTGATGAGAGAAGAGCAAGCGACAGGCAAGAAAGAGACATAGTGGCGGGGCTCCCAAGTCAAGTGTGAACAAACGCGCGGTATCGAAAGGAGTAAAGGTAGATGATGGTGAGAGTGATGGGCGCTCCATGAAGGCTCAGTTTGTCTACACGTGTGCGGACTACAGCGCGGCCAATGCATGCAGGTCGATCAGCATGAAGTGGGCGCAGGATGAAGCTGTGTTCAGCGAATGATAGTGAAGAAAGATGAGAAACAGGGGGAAAGATTTAGTTAAACAAAACAGGGTATTGGTAAGCGGTGATCGGGCATACCTAGTACGTGGCCAAGCCAATGCAACTTATTCACTGCTATCTGTTGTTCTAGGGAGCTAGCCTGATTATCACTGCCTAGCACTCGCCTACGCACATCATCGTTGCGTACACGCTGGTGCCAACCGACACCAACAGCAGTCCGCAGACAGCGATGATCAAAGACTTGAAGTCACCTCAGATCTTCAGACCGAAGGGACCAAGTCTCACTCCCATGGAGCAGTACGGTCCTCCCTGTGGCTTTGTAAACAAGGGGCCTTTTAGACCGATGGAAACTGCTTTCTGACACCAAAGATGTCGCAGATTCAAAGAGGCAGTACTGGTACACGAAACCGGCAATGCACCGCCTTGCCAGTCGTGGTGCTGTGAGGCACATCTCCGATCTAATCCATGATGTGATCCGCGAAGTCCTTAAAGTGTTTTTGGAGAATGTGATTCGCGCCTCTGTGACGTACACGGAACACACGAAACACAAGACAGTGACATGATAACGGGTAACAGCCTGTAGAAGGTCGCTATGATGGAGTCGTGATTTAAATTTTCGAACGTGAAGATCTAGCTGTTTATGAATAATCGAGTTTTGATCAATGACCATACTTCGTTTTGACTCTGCGAAGGCACGCAGTTGCTACCACCTAGCCTGATGTATGCAGTGGGGGTACTCGTTGTGGTTTGGATAGAGTGCAATTGGGACAGGACCAACTTCAGATAGGAAAGCAGGGGACTTGATCAAATCAAGATGCGCGTTAAAGGAATAACGAGACGTGGATAGGTTTAAGCTCGTGTGTGTGTGCATTCACTAGTCCAGTGTAAGCTCAATGCGATCGTGATACAGCGCAAATAGTGAAACAGACTCATAGTGTGTGTGTGGCTAAGAATACCATGGAATGTGCACCAAATGGGCCTAGTGAGCTAGTGACAAAGCACTGAACCGTTTGGGTGAAATCATGATGGAAAAGAAGAAGAAAAGAAAGGAAGGCAGTGCTCAAGGAGGTGAGGAACAAGGCGTTTTGAATGACATCTACACAGCCGCACATGTTAACGCCTGTGGAGATCTCAGTGAGAAGACCGAAATGGTCCAACTAGTGAGGATTTCGTGATCGGTGTTTATTCCCAGATGGTATTCTCATTCTGGGTCTGCTCATGTATGGTGTGGGAGACGATATACCAGCCGGTAATCTAACCACCACCACCACCACGACGACGACCACCACAGTTTTCAGCGGATTTCCAGGGAGATGACCAGGACAATGTACTTCACCGTGGACCGGGGAAAGAGAGCATTTATGGTGCAGTACTGACCATCACTGTGTCTTCAATGGATCGGATTATGAAGCCATACAGAAGCGTCACCCATCAAACTCTTGATTACCACCTGGCGAGCGAGACGTACACAATATCATTGCAAATAAAGCCGGCATGTCTGGAGATTGTTGAGGACAGCTCATCGAAACGGTGCATCAGGCACAGTGTAATGGTTGGGGATTTTTTCACAACAGCTTCCACATCAGATAGTCCTCCACATGCCCGGAAAAGCACTACATGGCCGTTTCGATCTGCTAGGACTCGTCAGTAGTGCGCATCTGTCGGATCCACCAGGAGCCGATAGTGGACATGGGGTCGGATCCTGATGGAGCCGATGGATGTGCAGTGCTGAACTGTCAGACCCAAAAGGCAGAAATGGCCTTCTAGCGCTTTCCGGGCATGTACAGGACTATCTGATTTTGAAGCTAAACAAAAACCAACTACGCATGAGCATATTTTATTAGTGCAACACTGTGCTACGATCACAACGGTTGTGTGAGGCGGCACATATCTCTGGGGTGTGCGAACCAAGAGAGAAAAACGATGATGAGCCGTAAGTGGAAGACCCAAAGTAAACGCTTAACTCCGCAAGTCAACAGGACGCGATGGTAACGACCCATCAAACACGTACCATTTCCCACTGCCAAGCCCACCTTGCAGTTTTCATGTCCACATGGAAGTTGAAAAAACGAAACAAGTCAGTCTTCTCATTTTCATTCCTATAACATTGTTTGTTTGCAGACGTTTACCCAGATAGTAGGTTATCACCAAAAACGGAAAAGTAGAAATCAGCGAATTCCTCAGATGCATTCGTTTCCACCTGTTGAGTAGCTTGTGCTTCACACACAGAAGAATTAGCAATTTCACCATTTCAATGCCCTAGTTAATAAGTGTGGTTTTATTTTTATGGAACAATGCCTATTTTCTCTCCATCCCTATCAATATTCTAAACTGCACCTAGTGGAGCGCACCATGCAGTTTACATGGATTGGAAAAAAAATAGTGGGTGAATCAACTTATTGTTGCTGGTCAAAAAGATGGCACTGATCTAGGAACCGCACTAACGGGAGTGGAAATTAGAGATCGCATCATCGATATATACCGAATTATGACTTGCCGAACTCTTGATTATGTATACTACTGATTGTCGTGGTGCGCGACACAATTTTTTATATCGCGTATCTGCATACACGTGGATGCAAATTTTGTAATTATTGACTTGTACCACACATGAGCACAGCCACTTGTTAAACCGTGGAAATCGTATTTTTCGGAGCTAACCCTGTCCACTGTAACGTGCGTAACTTGCAAGGCGGTGGAGGATGAGACGCGCTACATCGCAGTTAGATTGTAAATCATGACGGCCCAATGGCATAAGCTGCTGGCTAGCAGTTCAAGCCGCTGGTGGTTATGGGTTCGGATCCTGATAGATCTCATGAATGCGCACTGCTCACGGGTCCCGGTAGGATGAAATAGTTGTCGAGCGCTTTTTCAGGTGTGTCTGCTATACACCGTAACGGCGCTTCGCTGCCGCGCGACCACTACCAGTCGCGCGTGGGCTGAGTATACCGCGAGAACGCCCGCTCCAACGTGGATTCGAGCCGGTGACCTAGTGATTGCAAGCCAGCCGAGTAGACAACTCGGCTACCGGCCGTCTACCTGATTTGAAACATGCTGCGACGAACTCACAATTAATTGTATCACACCAATCTCAAATCTGAGGGACCAGGAAACGAGTACATCCGTAACCGACGCGGATTGCATGGTGTGCTCATGACCCGTGCGAATTGTCATATACGCAAACTCCGCTTGTTAGCCCGTGTTATCGGTGTGGTCTAGCTATGGCTTGTCCCAAAGCGACCGCCTGCACATTACACTATGGTTGTGGTTCTGGTGCAACGTCCCAAATCTCTTAGCATTTCGATGGGACTTATTCTCAAGATGTCTTAAAGAGCTCATTGGGGGGGGGGGGGAGTTAGAGAGATACGGAAACGGTCGCACTACATCAAGGTCAAACATCGCTGGGACTCGATCAAATCCCCAAACAGCCCCACCTGAGTGATAAAAGAGCCAAATCGCTAAACGACGAAGGTTAATTTACCCAAAGTAATATGAAGTGTCATTGGTTCGGAAAGCGATGCAGGCAATTCGGCAATAAGTATATTAGTAAGAGAGCCACAACAGGCGATTTTTGGATGGTCAGGGAATGAGAAGTGGTGTAAGAAAGCAAACTTTGATGTTCTAGTTGCATATCAGTGCAAAGGCTGAAAGCCGACAACAGGTCACCAGAGAACTTCTGTGTCATGCACTTAGGACAAAAAATCAACCAGATGGGCGTCTAGTGCACTTAACCGAGGGTATAATTGATGCCAAACTGGGCCACTAATAGGTGATGGTGTTTCGGAAGGACAGGTATGACAATCTCGACATATGCTTTGGCAAACGTAATCCCAGAACTTGGCTCGGGAGGGGGGGAGCGTAATTATGCGGCTGTAGCAATGTGCCATCGGTCTGCTGAGCGAATTACCTTGCATTCAACCAAGCCACAAGGATCGTCAACAACGGCTAACCTCCAGGCTAGGAAGAAAGACCTAGGATATAGGCTTTGTACGACTCTCGGTGTGTGAGCCTATAACTTTCACAAGATGAAGCTGATTGCTATTGCCTCAAGCCGGTAGAGAATGTACCGAATGAAGTTATCGATGGAAGTGGTGAATTATTGTAAGCCCAACGGCTCATTTGGACAGAGAGACGATGTACAATCATCTGAAAGCGAAAGCCAGTGTCGCGTCGAACACGACGTTCACCCCCTTGTACTAACAACTGAAAGGAAATCAGTGGCAGAAATCTCGGTTACTGTGCTATGCAGGATTAGACACAAACGGTCGCGTGGATGCAAGCACCAATGTGGTGCATCAATGTAGATATTACTGTGCCAAGGGTCAGCAATGTGAGAGAAACGGGCAATTCAGAATGAAATGTATTAACGCAAGGAAAACATCCGGATGCCGCAGATGAAGGGGGTACCAGGGGGAAACGCGCAAGCAGTGTTCGAGAAAAATTACGAGCAAGAGTGGACAACACAATATTCATGATGATGTTCGCAGATGAGTGGAGTTGTAGGTTGTAGCTGGTGAACATGATGGATGCTCGTCGCCAAACAAACAACTCTTCGCAACCCCTGTTATTGCGCCGCAACCACGCTACGTCATAAATACAAGGAACTCACTTTCATTAGGTGGAGCAGATGGATCTTTCGCGAATTCCAACAAATGAATTGCGACCAGCAGCTCTTCTGGGGCCAAAGGTCCTAACGGAGCTTCGTCCTCCAGGCTTGGAAGCGGAGCGTTCACGGCTTTGACTTTATCTACTCGCGGAGCGTATTGGGTGGAAACACTAGCTGCAACGGAGATGAGGAAGAATGGAAATGGTCAACAATATGAAAGCATGGATCGGTAGCATTGAGACACTGGGGACTCAAAACCAGTTGACGAAAAGTGGGTCACAACGCTTGAATACGGAGAGTGCCACAGAAAACATAGAGATCACCTTAAACGGTGATCAAAGTCCTTCGAAAATCGGTACGTTGAGACATGGGGAAAATCTACGCATCAACCCAAGCTCAGTCGATTAGCTATGAGCTGGTCACCGAGGGATGGTGGGTCCAGTTGGCGGCCGGAGAGCAGCAACTGCCCACAAAACACCGCCACTAGTGTTTACTTCTCTTCATATGTTTCTCTTCCTTTCCAGGATTTCTCTAACCCTAAGAATAGAGACCACGTTTGAGTTCCCTGAGCACACTAATGAAGCAGTGTAATCATCCTCCAAACAGAAAGTACCGTTTCACATAGGGTTTTTCAACGTCCGTACGCAATGTCAGATTGGTCAACATGCGGCACACCCCCACTCGAGATGTGCCGTGGCTCCGAAACTCTCACACACACACACACAGAATAAAGGCAGAGAGAAGAAAGTTGCGATATGTCAACATTTCGATTGTTCTCTTCAGTCGCAAACCCAATACGAGCAGAAACACAACCCATCAAAATGTCACAGTCAAGACCATGGCAACCGAATTGATTGCCTCAAGAGTTTCTGTGCACATAACACAGGCTGATAGGCCTTAATTAACAACGCCTTACTAATTGCTAGAATTATCGGGTTTTTGTTACGCAATAACACTTTGAACGCTGTCGCGGGGTTCACGTGATGACGGGCTGTCATGAGGTGCTTGGTGATAGACGATGCCGGGCTCCGATAAATTCTCAGATCCGTCCCATGTTGTGTAATCACTTGTCCCAACCACTTTGGCAAATGTTCAGCTACCCTCTGAGCTAACTGGCGGTTTGTTCTGCCTATGTAAATGTCACCGCAACCGCAGGTGAACTGATAAACAACGTGAGAGGCCGAACTACCCGACGAGATGCTCTGACGGTTATGAAGAACAAGTCCTCGCGTGGTATGCCTGAGTCGCAACTGGGCTGTCGTGTAGGTTCGCGTTAGGACCGACCGGAGCTTGCGTCCGATATCATTTGCCACATGGTCTCCCTTGAACGGCATGAACAAATAAACATTCTTTTTCCCAGCCGTCAACACCGGTGTTTTCACGCTGGGAGGTCTGCTGTGTACCTGAATAAACTTCTTAGGATATCCATTAGAAATTAAGGTCTTGCGTAGAAATTCTTCTTCGGTTTGTAACGTTTCGGGGCTGCAAATACGTCTAGCCCGGTAGTAGTGAGTTCTCACTAGCCGCGTTTGTATGCGATCGGGATGAAGCTTGAAAACACCGGTGTTGACGGCTGAGAGAAAGGATGTTTATTTGTTCTTGCAGTTCAAGGGGGACCATGTGGCAAATGATATCGGACGCAAGCTCCGGTCCGCCCTAACGCGAACCTACACGACAGCCCAGTTGCGACTCAGGCATACCACGCGAGCATTTGTTCTTCATAAGCGTCAGAGCATCTCGTCGGGTAGTTCGGCCTCTTAAGTTGTTTATCAGTTCACCTGCGATTACGGTAACATTTACATAGACAGAACAAACCGTCAGTTAGCGCAGAGGTTAGCTGAACATTTGCCAAAGTGGTTGGGACAAGTAATTATGCAACATGGGACGGAGCTAAGAATTTATCGGAGCCCGGCATCGTCTATCACCAAGCACCTCATGACAACCCGTCATCACGTGAACCTAGAGACAGCGCACAAAGTGTTAGTACGTAACAAAAAACCCTATAATGCTGGCAATTAGTAAGGCGTTGTTAATTAAGGCCTATCAGCCTGTGTTTTGTGCACAGAAACTTTTGAGGCAATCAATTCGGTTGCCATGGTCTTGACTGTGACATTTTGATGGGTGGTGGTTATTTTTTCCATGTATATACTCCCTTGTGTGTTTCTGCTCGTATTGTGTTTGCGACTGAAGAGAACAATCGAAATGTTGACATATCGCAACTGTCTTCTCTCCGCCTTAACGAAATGGCTGAAGGGGGACCCACTGTTTTACACAGAATAAAGGCGTTCCAAGCCAAGTATACTAACCAGACCTGGCAGCCTAATGGTGCGACTAATTCCGCGTCTCCGGCGATGCAGAGATCCCACGATTCACACCATTTGTGATGTCGGAGTTAACCTCAGTGGAGACTGATTTCTTGACTGTGGAGCCCAGTGAACACTTGCCTGTGTGTAATTCGGTTTTGCAGCGCAAAAGGTGTTATTAAAGGGCAATCGAAGGCAAGATAATATTTATCACCTGGGCATACGCTCACCGATGGCATCCAGCAGACTATCAAGAAGGATGAATTATTAGGATAGCCACAAACCGGATACCGCGATTGTCGCGGGTGGCAAGGGTGTTCGGATGAGTCACCAGTTGAAGTCAGAACATTGTTCCGGAGGCCATTTCGGGGACGATGATTGTCATACTGACAACAGGCCCAGCTAGTGCCGGAGTGGTTCAGGTGTTTGGTCTGTAGCTCGCGAACAAGTGCTTGGGGCCTAAATAGGTGTGGGGGCGATCTCACAGTATCCCAGTCCCCGTGTAACCGACGGTTGTTGCATGACAGCGAAGCGTTGTTAAGAAGTCCTGGAGTAGTGCGGAAATCTTTTGTTGGTGATGGTGACTGTTTCCTCCAGCTATGTACCGTAAATCCATGTCAACAACATGGCTCTTGAGTACAAGGGGCTACATCGCATTTTAAGTGTATATGGAGTTAGAGACAGGTTGACGAGATCGCCATCAACTACACGCTGCGCATGTAAGTCCAAGATCATTGATCAATTGCAAGCTTGTGCTTTGGTGAATTGCACCACCTCGGGGGCGATTGCTCGTCATCTTTGCTCGCAATCCGTGCAGCGTGGATGTGGATCTGAGTTACGTCAGCTGCCACTGACGGCGAACAAGACTTGTGTACCACAGTGAAATGAGCAAGTCGAGTCGCGGACACAAAGAAGTCGATACGCTCTGTGCATTGGAGTTCACGAGACGGTGGGGTGTGTGTGTGTGACCGAATGAGCGGTACTGAGATGCGTCGGTTGATTTTTGACAACTAACCCTTTGGTGTCGGGCACTAGACCTGCTAAATTCACACTATCCATCTCGAATGGGCGATGATTATTTTATACCCACTGGTTAAAGCCACAGTATCTATCCAGTTGCAGTAGTAGGAAGATGGGCAGAGGATGGAGCAAAAAACGTGAGGGGATTAATCAAGATGATATCTGATAGAATTGATGCATCTTGTCTCCCCGGGTTGAGCGCCTTGGAGGTGCACACATCCACAGTTAGCATCAGTCTAATGTGCTTGTATTAGTGGTTGGAACCGGGCGGTCAACCTTCCAGTCCGTCGAGTATGATCTACTCTTCCGCAAATCCCATACTCTCCACATTTTTGTCTGCATATCTGTTGGAAACCTTTTTTTCATTTACATGATGAAGATGATCATGGCGAATGGGTCCATTGCCGAACGGAAGTGAAACGAGCAGTGATGCCGTTTTATAGGTTGAGTTCTTGGTCCAAAACACCGGGAAATGTGGATTTCATGGGTTGAAATCCAACGGATGAATGTAGACCTCGTAACAGGTTACCGATTGGTGTCATCTCACAGGAACACGTCTTTGCTCGGCTGCTGAGAAGCTTGAGCGGGTACAAATTGCTCGGAGGACAGAAGTGCATTCGGTAACACGTCTTGGTGAGTGAATACAACTTCATCATTGGGCTTGAGAGCAACAACAAGGGTGGTTGACTTGTGACATGTGATCGCTAGTTAGACCACGGAGCGAGCAGAACTGAATCCAGCTTCAATTTTGGATGTTTGTAAAGTTTGTAGAAGTAGAAGCCAAGATCAAAATTCGCGCACAATAATGTGCCTCGACGGGGAAGCGAACCCCGGTCCACGAATTTCCGGTCCGCTGCTCTACCACTGAGCTACCGAGGACTGACGATTAGGCACGCAAATTTTAATACATGACTTCTACTTGGTCCGCGACGTATTGCCAAGGAGCTCACAGTACCTGTCCTGGTGTTGCAGATTGGCTCACTCACCCGTCACTTCCCAATGGACCGAAGTACCTGTCCTTCAAATGTCCAATGGTAGAATAATTTTGGATGTTTGTGAGTAGTGTAAAGTTTGTAGAAGTAGAAGCGTGAATTTTAATCGTGGCTTCTACTTCTACAAACTTTACACTACTCACAAACATCCAAAATTATTCTACCATTGGACATTTGAAGGACAGGTACTTCGGTCCATTGGGAAGTGACGGGTGAGTGAGCCAATCTGCAACACCAGGACAGGTACTGTGAGCTCCTTGGCAATACGTCGCGGACCAAGCAGAAGTCATGTATTAAAATTTGCGTGCCTAATCGTCAGCCCTCGGTAGCTCAGTGGTAGAGCAGCGGACCAGCTTCAGTTGTCTACCAAATGGCGGATTCCCTTAGGTTGTGCCCTAGTGTTCACTCTTCCATCATAAATCCAATCACAGCAAGCGGCGAAGTGAAGGTTTGACAAATAATTGTGAAACTAACGGTTCAAAACGCTTTAGGTGTGTAGCTTTGGCAAAGTGAGGGCATATGGAAAGCTGTCGGTGCCGATCAATGTATCCAACGGTGAGAGACAGGGATGCCCGTTGTCACCTCTACTTTTTAATCTCGCCATCGACAAAGTCAAGGAGACTGCGTCCATTGGATACGAGTTGAAAGATTTGGATATGATTCTAGGGGATCGACCTCTAGAATTAGAGTATGCTGAAGATACTGTCCTAATCTGTGCTAGCTCACAGAAGTGCCAATCAGCATCGGACAAATTAGCACTGGCTGTCAGCCATTCCGAGATGTGTTTTGCACCATATAAATACAAGGCTTCCTCCAAGGTTAGCAAGGACCGCTCTCTGCGCTGGCCCTTGGCGGCGATCGGCCAGAAGTCGTCCAGAAATGCAACTACCTGTCCAGCTGCAACAGTGCCTGTGAGTTAGAAGCCGAGGTCACGAACAGTATAGCTAAAGCTTGATTGGCATAATCTTCGCCACTTATGGAGCCGGAGGTACAACACTGTCGCCTTGAAGGGTACTGTTTACAACGCAGCCGACCGTGAAACGTTCCTGTACGGCCGCGAAATCTAATCCATCAGACCCATGGACAAAAGAGGATAGTTGCGTTCGGCCACTCGTACCGTTGTAGTTGAGCTCATATCTGTTGAGAATCCTGCGTGAGCAATGAGGGTGTTCGGTAGCTTGCTTACGGCACAGGAACAGCCAGAAGCACTGAGCATCGTTGTCGTACGCACTAGGCTTTGGTGGCTTGCCATGTGATATATACGCATGCCAGCACACACCGATTCCTACGGCGTGTGCGTCGTTTGCGTAACTGGGGTGTGGATAAAAAAAGGGGGGGGCAAACGGAGTGATCTGATCAAGCGGAATGAAGGCTCTCAGTTCGAAGTTGGTTTCCGTCGAAGGCTCTCAACTCAATGGCTGGGGTCCGAGAAACGGTGAACACGTTTGATTCGAAACACATGTTGACAGGGCCAGAAGCCGACCTCAGTGGCATTTGTGTTGTGAATCAACTTGTTTACCCCCCCCCCCTATTTAGTTGCCAATTCCAACCAGGATCTCAATCTCGAAGCATAAGACAATCTTTAGTTTAGTAATACCTTTGCTGCTGCTTTTTCTTGCTTAATTCTTTGTTACTGCCATCCAAATATTTCGTATTGCACCTGAGGTATTTCCGGCCTCTAACTAACGTGTACAATGATGATGATGATGAAGCAACGTAGTCCTGGAGCAGAACAACATCGCTTGTTAACATAAATGCACGCGGAATGGTTACTAGACGTCACAGGCTGGGAGATCAATCTCATCTGGAACGGGAGCTAGTGAGCTTGCACAGTAATTTCTATTTTTATTCTGGACAAACGCGAAGGAATTACGGAGGACTGGAGACACTATAGCGGAGCGGTTGAAGGTGTAGAGCGTATCCAATGGAACAAGGCTAAAGGTGTCACCTGTGATGGAAGCACGACGCGTTTGAGTGACACCAGTCACGGAGATAAGAGCAAGGTTCATCCAGGAAACCGGTGAAAAGTGATGTTAAACAAGAAACGTCAAGCGCCCGGATGGGGATGCGATTCATTCATGACCAATGTGAAAGAGAACCGACGAAAAGCAAATATGAGACAGGTCGAAGAGGTACGGTTGTCTGCGACAAGCTTCCTAAGCAAGATGCAAAAATTCAAATGTAACAAGATTACGTGAGACCACATATTGGTAAGATATGTGCTTATGATCAAGAAAGGAACATGGTTTTTCTACAAACAGCCACATACCATGAAGTAAGCGGGTCAAAACCTCCTTGACCACTTTTTCAGTGAGTTGCACAAGCCTCGGCAACGCTTGGATCACATCCTGTTTCGGCAGTCCAACAAGGACCGGAATGAGACAGCGAATGTCGTGAACGCGCTCGCGATACAGCTTGTACACCCGTTCGACCAAACTGGAAGGCGGGATGATGACAGGTGGTCCTCCGATAATCGTCACGGTGGCTGAAGGACCCAACTTGGCAGCTAGTGTAGACGAAGTCGCAGCAGCCGTCGCCGAAGGAGCGTCAGTAAGCAGGTGAATCATCCGAGTGATCAGTGTCTCCGCACCAACAGGACAATGGTCTACCAAATCGTGAAGCGCAGCGGAGTAGAGGCCGATTTGGCGAATCTGTGTCGACGAGGAATAAACCGGTAAGTGGACGAGTGCGAAGATGACACCATGTCCGCAAAGAAGGAGAGAAGTGAAAACGAACAACTCACTGGTGTATCGACCATACGCAAAATGCATCGCTTCACATCTGGACTGGCATTCACGTAAACTTTTGCAAGTCTGTAGGGGAAAGGAGACAGGAGAAAGGATATAGTGGGCCGGTTCCAGAGCCCGATAAGATGAGCCACACGAGTGAGAAAACACCGACAGATAGAGTTTGGAGCATAGAACCTTACGGATTATGTGCTGTAATGGAACAGCTGGTTATCAAGAAAATCACATAGGGAAAATATCCCCGTCCGAATGGCAAATAGCCTCAACACGTAAGGTAGTTGGTTTCTGTTGTAACGCTGCGCGGCCTGCTCGCTCTCGCCTGGTTGATTCACGCCTGTTGCTAAATCTGCGCCTTCACGCGTGCTCTGATTTTCGCCTTGGCAAACCCGACCGGAACGAAGACAGAAGACTAGTCAGCAGACCAGAGTTGTATTAAGGCAAAGAACGGTCATATTTATATGTCACTATCACCAGGCGGATTTGGCTCTAAGCCCACGCTCCACACCTACTTGTCCGCTGCATCTGTCCGATACACCGTGTTGCTCGGGTACTACAGTCTTCGTTTGCCTACCCGGCGCATGGCAACGCACGTGATGTCTGACGCGTGATTTCATCAGCTTCCGGTCTGGCCTTGGCAACACGCCTGGTGTCTGATCAGATTTCGGCTGGGCCCTGGTAACATGCTCGTAGAGTCCTTCCCAAGCACGCTTGGTGGTAAACGCGCGAGCGTCGGCTCTCAGCTTTCTCGTCCAACTGTCACCTCCCCTTCCGAATTGAGTCAGCCTGCACACTCTTCGAACCTGAGTGTGTTCGTAGCTTTTCGCCCGGGGATTGATTTGCAGCCGTTGTGGCCTTCTCCGCTTCCGCGACGGCCTGCATGGTGCATCTGATTTCTGCGGCATTTGTTTCGTCTCACCTGGTTGCTGACATTCAGCTTCCAACCCGAACGTGTCTAGTAGGATGTCCCAATGTAAAGCTGGTGGTTCCTGAGGACCTTGGGTTTTGCCATGATTCGGTTTCAGCTGATTGATGTGCCTAATCCATCTCTCACGTCCAACCATCACCTCGTAGATAACTCTGCCTTTCCTTCCGATAACCGTTCCACTAGACCACTCCTTCGGCCTTCGAAAATCCCGGGCGTAGACCATGTCACCAACATTGAAGTTACGGAGCTTGATCTTGCAATCTTCCTCCTGGTGACTGTTGCCGTGCTTTTCTATTCTTCTTGGTAAAAGATTATCAAACAACGTCCGGATCTTTCTTCCAAATAGTACTTCTGTGGGGGCTTTCCCATCAGGGGAGTTTGGATTCGGAGCGTTCCGATACATGCATAGAAAAGCTTGAATTGCATCCTGTGAAGCCCTTTTTTGCCCTGCTTTACAGAGTGCACGTTTGAACGTGTCCACAAACCTTTCCGCCTGTCCGTTTGATTGAGGATGATATGGGGGTGAGAACATCTGATGAATTCCCTTTTCCTTGCACCACTCGCGAAAGGAAGTCGAGGTAAACTGTGTTCCGTTGTCTGTCACTAACACCTCTGGCAGGCCGAAGTATCGGAACAGCTTCTCCAGCTCGTTGATAGTGTGCTGTGCAGTCGGATTGTTTACCGGAATCACATCAGGCCACTTAGTGAATGAGTCAACCAAAACGAGATAGGATTGGCCATTGATCGGTCCTGCATAGTCTACGTGTATTCGTTGCCACGGTTTCTCTGCCTTAGGCCAAGGTTGCCACTGACACTTGGGAGGAGCCTTCGCTGCAAGTTGACAAGATTCACACTGTTGGCAGAATTTTTCAATTTCCGAATCCATTTCTGGCCAGTAAACAAAGCTGCGTGCCAAGGCTTTCATGCGGCTGGTACCAGGGTGCCCCGTGTGGAACTGCTGCAATATTTGCCTCTGCAATTTCCTTGGCACCACCACTCGATCTCCAAACATCAGACAATTGTCCACGGCTGATAGGGATGCACGTCGATGGTAAAACGGCCGCAACTCCATAGGTATGCCTCCATTTGGCCAATATGTTCATACACAGTGCATCGCTTTCTTCAAGATTCTGTCCCGTGATGTCTCCATACGAATAGTGTCGGCTGTTACTGGTAGTCTTCTCACATTATCAGCCAGGATTCATTGGACTTCTGCTTCGAAACTGATAGCTGCAATCACACAATCATCATTCTCCTTTGGGTGTGAACTGATGAGACGAGACAGGGCATCCGCTTGACCGATTAGTTGCGTCGGTTTATACTGTATACTGAAGTCGTAGGCCAGTAGTATGGTCGCCCATCGTTGCAATCGGTTTGCCGTAAAAACTGGAATTCCTTTCTTTGAACCGAATATCGACAGAAGAGGCTGGTGGTCAGCCAGAAGCGTGAAATGTCTGCCATACAGCATCTTATGGAACCGTTTCATTGCGAAAACAATCGCGAGCGCTTCCTTCTCTATCTGGCTATAGTTCTTTTCAGCTGGCGTTAGTGACCGTGCTGCGTGCGCGATAGCCTTCTCTCCTCCATGCGGAAAAACGTGGGAAATAACTGCACCGACACCATAATTTGAAGCATCCGTAGCAACGACGATTTTGAAATTCGGATTGAAGTGAGTCAAGAGTAGATCGGAAGTGAGAGCTTCTTTGACTGCATCAAAAGTCTGCTGGCACTCCTTCGTCCATTTCCAATCCTTGTCTTTTATCAGTAGCTGGTTTAGCGGACCTCTGGTTTGGTGAAGGCTTGGTAGGAAAGCACTGTAATGGCTAACGAGCCCAAGAAAAGAGCGGAGCTCTGCAATGTCTTCTGGTGGTTTCATCTTTTTGATGGCTTCAATATTGGCGGGATCCGGGCGCCGGCCATGTTTGTCGATGATGAACCCAAGAAATTTGACACTTTCTAATAGGAACTCACATTTTTCAGCCCGTAATCGGAATCCAGCTTCCTGAAGACGCGAAAGCACTCTCTCCAGTGTCTGTATCAAGTCTTGTGGATCTGAGCCCATAATCAGCGCGTCGTCCAGGTATACTGCTGTATTTGGGATATCGCTCAGCAGGGTATCCATTATTTGTTGAAAAATGGCCGGTGCGGTTTTCACTCCAAACGGCAGTCGGTTGTACTGAAAAAGTCCGAGGTGGGTATTTACTGTCAGCAATGTTCTGCACTGATGGGCAACTGGGATTTGCAAATACGCATCAGCTAGGTCAAGTTTTGCGAAACATTTCCCCCCATTGAGTTTGCTGAACAAGTCTTCTGGTACCGGCAGGGGATACTGATGATCTTCCAACACAGAATTCAAACCTGTCGAGAAATCAGCACAAATACGGACTTTACCGTTTCCTTTCTTTACCACCACGATAGGTGCTGCCCATTCGGAATAGTGAACTCGTTCGATTATCCCTTCAGATTGTAGTCGATTTAACTCGGCTTCCACTAAAGACTGGGTTGCGTAGGGCACCGGGCGTTTCGGTCTAAAGACTGGCTTGGCGTCTGGTTTAAGGTTCAATGAGGCAGTAGCTATGTTGCAGCATCCGAGACCAGGTTGAAACAATGCATCGTGACGTCGTTTTATCTCGGCAATCTGACTTTGGAACATCGGGCTTGAAGGTGACGGTTGTGACAGCAGATTGACTTGCGGTGTCTGACATATACTGTTCACTGATTGATCAAGCAGTTTCAGTTCATCCATCCAGTCGAGCCCCAACAAATCTAACCCCGGCTGGTCTGTCACGAAACATGTCGTCTGGATTTGTTTATCGCGGAAGTTTACCTGACAATTCAGTTCACCCAGCAATTTCAACGTACCTCCTGAAGCATTCCGTGCCGTGTGGTCCGTTTGTATGAGTGTTGGTCGCCCCAGCATGCACCAAGTGTCTCGAGATATCAGGGTGATATCAGAAGCCGTGTCAATTTGTAACTTGACTTGGAAGCCGTTGATTTTCACAATTGTGTATTTGCGCTTGCTGGCCCCGTCAACCTTGAATGTTGCGGTGATAGATCTGGTCAAATTGGGACGCCGGAACGGTTTGGCATTGTTACGCATCTTCTTGGTCAGAATTGGACGAGTCGCCAGGCAACACGACTCCTTATGCCCTTTTCTGCCGCAATGGTTGCAAGTGTGAGTTTTGAATGGACACTCGCGGGCAAAATGCCACTCTCTACAAAACCAGCATGCAGTGGGAGGTTTAGAATGCGTTGAACTCACGTGGGAAGCTTCTTTTCGGGGAGTACGGCTGACTGCACAGACAAAATCTTGCTCGCTCTGCTTGGACAACTGCTGGATCATTGCAGTATCGTGTTTCAGATTCGTCATGCGTTGGCACTCACCGGTCACTTGCTGCAACGTGACATCCGGATTCTGCTCAATTTTGTGCAGTATTCGTGTTCGAATGTCGGCGTCTTTGGATGCTTGTAGGCCACAGACGTATATGAGGCATTTAAACTGATCACTTGTCATCTTGTGCAGTTGTGACCGTTCCCACTCTCGATTCACCCGGCTGGAATAGTCGACCCAGTCTTCGTCTTCTTTTTTGGTTATTGTCAGACACTTGTACCGGATGTTGAACAAAGAAGTCTGTTCTCCGAAAATCTGCGACAGGACTGCAACCACTTCGTCGAAGGACAAATCGGTACTCTTTTTGGGTAAGATAAAATTGGTGAACTTCTCGTGTTCGGCAGCACCCAGCTTCCGCAACATTAGTCGAATCTTCTTTTCTGCTGTAAGGTTAGCAAAATCAACCCGGAACATATCTTCATACTTGTGGAACCACGAAACAAATGTTATGCCAGCATCAGCGTCATAATGAAACTCACTGATCTGCTGAGTCAGGGTTTCTGGTGACGGGGCACCTTCAATTGTCGCTAACCCTGGGCTTGACTGCACTGTCATCTTCTGAGTTAACATCTCGATCAGTTTGGTTTGGGATGCTTCAAACTGCGCCTGTTGCTGCTGCAACAGCATCTGCAATTGTTCAAAGCTAATTGCCATGCCTGGGTTCGGTTGTACTCGCGTTCGCCACAGGCGAAAGCGAGCAGGCCGCGCAGCGTTACAACAGTTTCGAGATAACCGTCTAACTTCAACTAACACAGTAACAACACACAGGAAGAAATCAAATGAACCACTGATGGCTCACAATGTGGGATCGAAATTGAGAGGCAACACGCAGATAGGTCACAAACGTCTTATCCCCTAACCGGGGCGCATCAGGTATGGAAGGTAGGTCGAAACGCTCGCATTTATCGTCAACTCCATAGAAATGTACTTCATAGTCGTTACAACAATAAAGATCGCATATAGGTCAGAGTACTCCTAGAAAGCCCAAACCTAGGTTGGGATTGTCAAACGAAACTGTCACAAATGCTGGGTCACAGGACAGCGGGAATACCACAGAGAGCCGGAAGATAAGCATAGTCACAGAAATAATTCCAATCCAAATTGGAAAGATTAGGAAACTATGTATCTGACCATGAACTGCCAATAGAAGTACCTCCCAAGACACAAAAGGAACCCATGTTAACATAGTTACTAACCGCCACTTAAGAGCTAATCTTGTTGTTGCTTTGGAGCTTCGTTGTCACGTTACGATTCAGCTAAGAAACTGAGCGGTGGCCTATATTTGACAAACGAATGTGATTTACGAACACTCGATTTGCAGTACGTTCAAATAAACGTCGTCCAATACATAGAGGGCGTATTACGAATGTGGCGATAGTCAGCTCAGTTGCTTGCTGTTCTACTCGAATAATAATAATAATAATCGGTACTATATTGAGCTTGTTCGCTTCACCACCGTAAGTACAACACACACACACACAGGCACACAAAAGGTCCCCAATGAGGGAGATGATACACACCCAGCTTCGTTTAAGTCAAATACACCACTGGGATTCGAGAGGAGACAAAGGGAGAAGTACAGGTGCATCGCTTAATTCTCAATAGCCTTAGAAAGAGCATGCAACAAGAGGCTACAAGCACACAGAGGAAGAGGACCACTATGGCAACACGCCCACACACACACAACTCACTCGTGCATCAGGCTGGGACTTTGTGGCATCAAACCGAGGAACAGGTAAGCACACGCGTGGCATGTCTCGTCGTTCCAGCTACTCGGGACAACCGGATGCGTGTTAAATGGAAATATATCGGACGTGGGCCGAGGTTGCAACAGCTTCTTCAAGGCTCGGGTGGCGAATGACTTGAAGGTGAAACAGAGAATGGAACAATATTACGGGAGGTGGCATAGGTACGAGAGTGTAGGGAAAAAAGTAATCCAATCGAATACAGCTGTAACACTGTTCTATGATGGCAACCAATCTGTTAAAACAGATTCAACGAAGCGAACTGAGTACATTTAAAAATTGATATTATCATTGAAAAAGCAGCAGAAAGTATTGAAGCGCTGTTGCTGAAGCGACGACTGATGGTGCAGTGAAGTGGAATGCGGACCTATGGGACGCAATTTCGCACAGAGAACCGGAGATTAGAGTCAGGAACGACTGAAAAGTTGCCAAACTGCAAATGACCAGTGGTAGTGTCATGCATGCTGATGAAGTTGATTAGGAAAACCGGGCAAGAGCAAGTGGATCAGGCTGAGAAGCCAGTGGAAAAGTGCGAGAATTCACAAATGCAGAGACACACACCAAGACAAAACAACTCACTTCAATGTAGTGTTGCCAATCGGAATTCAATGCAGAAAGCTCACAAGTCGCGGTCAAAGCGGCTTGTCGGACTTCAGTGTCCTCCACCGCACAAAAGTTGAGTAACATGTTCAGCAGATCAGAGCGTTGACCAACCGGACGCAGTTCGATGAGGGTGCGTAGAACCTTGCCGACAAAGAACACAACAGTAGAAGCGAATAGGTTTAAACATGCGACGACAGGTGCAGAAGATGTAAAACGATCGCGTCACCGCACAAAATTGATTGTTCTAATGTTTTCATACAAGTGCAGCAAAAAAGACAGATTATTCCAGAGATAACTTCCTCGCGTTCCTTTCTCATTCAGCTGGCTTTGGCACGTCTGGAAAAGCACCGGACTACGCTGTTTCAACCTCCTGGGTCTCGTCAGTGGTGCGCCTTCCCCGGGCCCCTGACCCCATGACTTCCGGATGCCGGCAGCTGGTGCCACTAAGCTATGGGTGACGGCCGCGGATCTGCATGACTGACAGTTGCCTACAGTATAGCCCGGTTCATCCTCCATTGCCACGCCAGTTACGAACTGTACAGAGGGCTATAGTTAGCCCCACTAGCTAGGGACTTTCTGCATAGCGACTGTGTACGAGACAGCACTAAAATTCTGTACGGACAGATTTTAGCTTACAGACTACGTAGTTTAACGGACAACAAAGTATCCCACTTCACAAAGCGTCGGGCCATTAACTCCGATCTGTTTGTGAATCACAACGCAGACTGCCACATCAATCAAACGAGTAGCGTACGGGCTCAACCGATTCCACACACACTGGGAAGGTACGAAGTTTAGGTCGATGAAATTCAATGGGAACCAATAGTACTACTGAGCGGCGATCCAACACTCGAGGAGATGAGTTTAATGTTTTAACAGGGCGTATATTTCAATAACGCAGGCCTTCAGTGTCCGCGGTAGACAAACTAAAGGCCTTACAGCAAAACGAACAGACCTCCAACTATACAAACAAAGATTGCAACCCCATTGTACACACCCAGACATTCGAAATGGGGTGGATCTTCCAAGTTCACTCTTACTGTACTATCCACTAAAATCGAATAACAACACGGACACTTGCAAGGGATTCGATAAAACACTGTCGCATTCAGACCAGCCCATATCTCTCTGATTTCGACGATTAATTTCCTGAGTAAACCGTCTAACCCATAGCCGAAGATAGCTGAGTGTCACAAACTCCCTAAGAGACACGTTCTTGAAGGATAAGTTTACAGTGAGACTGCTGGCTCGAGTTCAAACAGCGGAGATGGAACAAGAGTAGATCAACCAATGGAAAGTGATAGAAGCAAACAAATTATGATTTCGATGTTTGATTAATGTCAGAAGCATCGGTGAGTTCAGAATTCCACCGTGCACAGAACTCGTGAGTATCAACTCAGCTAAGTTCGGCTTGTCGATTATCATCTGTGCGGTGGATCCAAATGTAGTGAGACACATCACAAAAATGATAACAATTAATAATACTGGTATTTCAAGAGGAATGAAGAAGAGTTGAAGTCAGATAGCGTTACTCGGGACAGAATTAAGGGAACGGATGCAGGAGCGGCAGTAATGCATCAACCATTTGAACGAATGCTTCATTGTTGTACAACCACAACGACCTAAGAAATGAAGAATAATAAGTGAGAGAGGAGACCTAAGGTAAAAGTTTAATTCTCCAAACAAACATTTCGAGTCAAGGCGCATACTCCTTGTCAACAACATGCAGTCATAAACAGCTCCCTACCGTGTAAACACAAAGCGGCATTGGTAAGACAAGTTCCTTGCGGCTTTCACCGTCCCGGGTCGTAATCAGCCATTACTCCGAAGATAACTCGGTACCGAATACTCTTTAAACAAGAAGTCCGAATAGATGACAGCAGACGTGCTACTGGTGCCGACTGCGAGCCGTGCTGTAACGTCTGGGGCCAAGTACAAGGCGGCTTAGGTGGGTTCCAGTCTGGAAAGTGGGACATGCCGACAACACCCAGTTTCGTAGTCAGCGACTTCAATTTACGCCTTTAATTTAATTTTTGTGCACCATACGTCTGACAAACAAAATAAAGCCCTTAGTAAGCGGAGACCGGCATAAGTAGCGCGTGCCCAAATCAAGGCAACGTATTCAGTGCTATCTGTTGATCTAATGAACTAGCCTGATTAGGACGGTCTAACACCCGCTTAAGCACATCATTGTTGCGCACAGACTGGTATCATTCGACACCTGCAATGCTTCGCAGGCAGCGATGTCAAAGACTTGGAGGAGCCTCAGATTGGAGGAGTCGAGTCTCCCTCCTATAGAATAGGACGGTCCTCACTGTGGCCTTGTAAACACGGCCTATCGGATTGAGGGAAACCCCTTCTGGTGCCATAGATATCGCATATTCGTGAAGGCAGTTCTAGTTTTTGCAATGCGTGAACTAATTTCAGTCGTTATGCGCCCATCGTTACTGATGCAGCTGCTAAAGTAATTGAAATAAACAAAAACCTTGAGTTTCTCGCCATCAAGTGGCTGATGGTTCTGCAGCAACACTTTGCACCTCAAAGGTGCGAAGCGTATGCCAAATGACCGGACAATTCTAGAAGTTGTTCAGGAGTGTCTGGACCACCCCAACATCGCCCAGATAATCAAGATCAACTAGATTTTCACCAAGCATCATCCCAACGCCTGCACCGTGAGATTCCACAAAGGAACAGTCCATGACGGAGTCCACGTTGAAGCTGAACAAAAAAGGGGATATTAGGCAACCCTAACAAATTCCAGCTATTATTCGAGAAGTATCCGACATGTCACCGTAGACCCTGACGCGGCTTGTGGTGTTCGAGTACAGGGTAGGCAAAATATTCACATATTTCACATGGGAACACCTTCCCGCACAAATATTTCGAACAGAATAGATCGATCGGCTGAATCGAACGCACTCCTGAAGTCGAGGAACACAACAATTGCCAGTTTGCGATATATGTGGAGCTGTTCTAACATCTACCGCAGAGTGAATATGTGGCCTATAAGGTCCAAGCATAGGTGGAAGCCTGCTTGCTTATCCATAATCCGGGATTCTGGTTTCGCAGTGAGGCGACGAATGATAATGGGGGTTAGTAATTTTGCCACCCCTGGCGTTAGGCTAGTACCAAGGTGGTTAGCTCGGTCAGTGCGAAGGCTGTTCTTATATATTGCCACTACAATCGATGCACTCCAGTTAGCCGGAATGAGTTCTTCCTTCCAGACCTGTTCGAACAGTGATGTCAGTGCTCTTCAGAAGACCTTACCACCAAGCTTAATTAGTGCGGGTTCAGGAAATACGAATCAGCACCTCGAAAATGATTAGGGGCTGTGATCCTCTTTCGGAACCCGACCTCTGATCCAGCTTCTAAATTAACTCGCCATGGCTCAGCCTGCAACATGTGAGTATGAAGAGGCCAGGAAGCAGGGGGCCGACTGAACTGCTCCCGACAGTGTTTCGTCCAACGAGCCATACGGCGCTCCTTGTTGTGAATTAGTGCACCTGCGCTGTTTCCGATTAGTTCACTGACGCTTGGTTTCCTGGAACAACTGCAGCGGATTAGTTGGTAGAGTTTGCGATGAATGCCTACTGTTCTTGCCTCCTCCATTTCTTGAGCCTTACTGGTCCATCATGCTTCCTGGTCATCACACAGGCTGCGCCTAAATTCGCGCCCAGTAGCCCACCTAGTTACACTGTGCTCAGAGCCATCTGGGAGATTTTTATGCATTCCAAGAGGTTCACCGTCTTATCGGATATCCAGTGACTGGTCAGTGACGATGGATAGTGTCGCAAGCAGGGGCTCCCGCATTGTGCATACCGACCGTGATCCTATTCCACTAAAGCTAAGAGTTATTAGGGTGAGAGAAAGAAAGCACGGTACGTAAGGTATCCCAGCAGGTTTGCCTGCCCGAAGGATTGGCTAAAGTCTCAGTTGCCAATCGAGGGAGGTGCTTCCTACGCATCCCAGTAAAGTATACAAAAATACGAGAGCGGACCGATGCATGATTAAAATAGACACATGTACATCAAAACGAACGACAGTTCGATGTGGAACTATGCCATCTGTAACTCATGGCATCGTAATCAATTTGGGCTCATTGCTGACCAGCTATAGGTGGACACCAAGTGGCAATGCGGCGCCCACCGTGTTTAAAAACGGGCTACTAAGAAACAGCCAGCGCACTGCATACAGCTGTAACCGACGTTCACCGTTGTTCCTAATGTGTGAGTCAAGTTCATATTTACCATCTAGCTGACCTTCCAAAAAGCCCAGAGGACCTACTTGCGTATTCATATTCCTGCAAGAATTGATAATTGAAATAACAGCCCTGAGTAGCGAAGTGTTCAGTTCGTAGTGTAGAATGTCTCCTTGTCAGCACCAAAACTACGATCCATGGGGGCATAAGTGGAAATCGCAAACCAACAGAGTCTAGTACTACTTCGTGAGTCAACCTTCAGTTCAGCTGTTGACTGGTTCACCGAGCTTGAGATCATCATCATCATCACCACCACCATCATCATCATCATCAGCAGCAGCATTACCATTATAAATGTTAGCTGCTAGGGTTGGAAAACAACTGAGCTACTGTGCCGCAATACACAAGGAAAGAAAAAATACCACAGGTGCATGCCAACTGTGCTTCCAGTAACGGATGGGCATTGTTCCGGAAGGCTACCAGCCGGCTACTATGCAGCAAAAAATTTATTGTGCAAAATTTATATTATGTTAAGAAATGGGATCCTGATTGGAGGTGAAGGCTAAGAGACAGGGGAGGAACAAAGAAACACACAGCACGAACGCCACTGAGGTCGGATCCAAGCCAAGCCAGCAAGTGTATTAAGCCAAACATGTTCATCATCTTTCGGACCTCAGTCAGGGAGCCGAGGTCAACGTCGAAGTAATGATCTTTCATTGTTCTCGACCAGGTCATCGCTTGACCACCTTCCTCCTCTTCCATCCACACTCACGGCGCGCAAACAAACGTATGTTGCGGGAGTCGGTGGGCTGACATGCGCAACACGTGGCCCAGCCATCGGAGTCTGGTGTGTGATATAACGGTGCTGAGCGGTTCATTTCTTTTTCCTGTGCCATAAACAAGGCGTCGAACACGCTCGTTACTCACGTGGTGTTCCCACCAG